TCGTTCATACGTTCGACTGCTGAGCTGCGCTGCCACCGACTGCTAATGTGTACTTCAAAACACGCAAAAATTATTAAAATTTCAGAAAAGATTACTAAAAGAGCAAGAAAGACGCTCGAGAGGCTCAAAGGATCTCAACTCAGGACTGGTTGGTTTTTAGCGGCTTCAGCTAGAGGAGTCTACACAGTCTCGACAAGCTACCTCAGTCCCTTTGTGATTTTTGATTTTCATAAATTTACAGAAATGGTGCGATGATTTGGTGGAACTGGCATTTGTAGAAACAATGCACCCATACACCGTGCGAATTACGTTGAAGGTCAAAGCAAAATTGTGGGGACTGGCCCTCTTGTAATTTTTTTCTTTCTCTCTGTACCTATAACAGAAGCATTTTACACGCTCAGCGTGTTCAGTAGGAACAAAGGTCAGGAAGGCAATGGAAAAGGGCCTAATGGAGGGCATAAAGTGAGTTGCAATCATTAGGAGCCTCAACCCTCCATTCCTGTGCATGTTAATGGTGAGTGTGTTCAATTCGTGAACGGAAAAATGGCAGATGCATCCTCCGAGCCGCACCACTCTTATGGAAGTATTTGCTTGTCCTGCAAGTCTAGCCGCTTTGTTGAATTAAACTTTTTCGAGATTGTCAGATAGAGGTCATGATTTTCCTGGAATAGCCTGTTAGCTCTACAGTCAAATTCGCAGTTCAGCAAAAAGTTAAACTTGCTACAGAGAGACGAGTTCACTGTCGTGAAGGCCCTTTCATTTTACCGTCTTCGAGACAGTTTTGCAGCGCCACTTTTGGGCCGCACAGCGTGGAATTTTTAAATTATTTCGATTAGTTTCGAATTTAAATCAGGAGCGGTCTTGTAATGGCTTCTGAATGCTTATTCGGTCTACGAGATTCTACTGCAGAACCAGTTAATGAACAAAACCGTCTCCCTACCAAGCGAGATAAAAGGTGGCGGATGTTTTGCTCCGCACGCTGAAGGTTCCTCTGAAAACAGTTTCAATTAAATGACACGTGTATTGATGAAGATAGCAAAACAAAAAGGGCAATTATCGATGTTCAACGACAAGCTTTGAATTTTTCTGTGATTTTTTGTACAAAATGCATAGTTTTGGAACACTATCATGCGCCGAAAATAAACTTG